CGCGCAGGGCAGGCCCGCAGGTGTGGCCGACAGCCCGGCCGCCGCCGCCGCCGAGTTTGCCTCGTGTAGTTTTGCCCCCAAATCGGCCGTGTTCTCCGCCTCGTGGTCCACGGTGCCTGCCCAGCCCCCGGCGGCGGCGGCGATGAGCGGTCTCTACCACCCGTACGTGCCCCCGCCGCCCCTGGCTGCTGCCTCCTCCGAGCCCGGCCGCTATATGCGCTCCTGGATGGAGCCGCTGCCCAGCTTCCCGGGCGGCGCGGGTGGCGGCGGTAGCGGTGGTGGAGGTGGCGGTGGCCCGGGCCCTGGTCCCAGCCCCTGGCCCCAGCGGCCCATCCAACGGGCGCCACTATGGAATTAAGCCTGAAACCGGACGGCCCCGACCCCCGCCGCCGCGGCCGCCGCCACCTCCACCTCCTCTTCCACTTCCTCGTCTTCCTCCTCCAAACGGACTGAGTGCTCCGCGGCCCGGGAGTCCCAGGGGAGTGGCGGCCCCGAGTTCTCGTGCAACTCGTTCCTACGGGACAAGGCGGCAGCGGCGGCTGGGGCAACCGGGCCCGGTGCAGGGATCGGGGCCGGGGCCGGAGCAGGCGGCTCGTCGGAGCCCTCGGCTTGCAGCGACCACCCGAGCCCGGGCTGCCCGCTGAAGGAGGAGGAGAAGCAGCATCCGCAGCCGCCGCCGCAGCAGCAACTTGACCCAAGTAAGTGCAAAAGAAATTGCCCCCTGATTTATTGCTGAAACCTGTAAGGCTCGAATGTGCAAAACTGATAGTTTTACTAACCTATAAAAACGTCTAGACGCCTACCCTAGCCTAGGCGAGCAACACGCATCCATAAAAAAGCTTCCCATAACCACCTACTCTGGGCGCGCGGTTTGTACGGTAAACAGAGCGCGGGCATTAAGGCTTTTTATGATAATTCCCCAAGTTGTGAAAAGCGGCCATCCTTGGTGAAATTAATTTAACGACCTCTCCCCCCCACCCTGTCTTCTCTTCCTGTCTCCCCTCCGCCCCTCGCTCCCCTTCTCTAAACCCCCCTCTTCATAGACAACCCCGCAGCAAACTGGATCCACGCTCGCTCCACCCGGAAAAAGCGCTGTCCCTACACCAAATACCAGACGCTTGAGCTGGAGAAAGAATTCCTCTTCAACATGTACCTCACCCGGGACCGGCGCTATGAAGTGGCAAGGATTCTGAACCTCACAGAGAGACAGGTCAAAATCTGGTTCCAGAATCGTAGAATGAAAATGAAAAAGATGAGCAAGGAGAAATGCCCTAAAGGAGACTGACGCGGCGCAGCGCCGACGGAACCGCTCTGCTTTGCAAAGGCAGTGGGGTTTTTTCTTTGTGGGTGCTTGATTTCCAGAAATTCTGCAGCGATTCGGACATTTCTCCCCCTTCCCCCTTTTTGGTAGAAGTGACTGTGTGGTTGGTCTCTGTGAGGTATTTTGGGGGACTCTGTATTTGCTCGCTTATGTGTTGGAGAAACCAAGTGGCTTTGGGGTTTTGCCCTATCCCGCTCCCCATGTTTCCTGTCCTATTGGTTCCTTAGGAAATGCCATATTTTGTGAGTGCACGCCGGCTTGAGGAGCCCTCTCCTGTGTAAATGTCCCTTATGTTTCTGAAAAGTGCTGTAGTTTAGCCCCCAGCGCTGCTCAAGCAGGGGCCAAGCGCACCCCACTTCTGAGAGCGAAGGCAGAGCGACGACAGTGAGGAGGCCCGCCCAGGCCAAGACCCGGTCGTGTTGTCCACCGGTTATGAAAGCCCCCTTTCCTCAGGGAGTCCACGGGCCCTCCACTAAGACGTGGAATGAGACCGAGAGAAGAGCCTAGGGCCGCCGGTGGGTCGGGGGTTTCTTCTCAGTGCACTGGCGGAGCCGCACTCTCGGGGGAGGTGTTGGCTCGCTTGGGCTACCGCGGGTGTAGGCCCTCCGGGTTCCTGCCCGAGGACCAGTTGTAAATGTTACCGCTTCCTACCAATAAATGCTGACCTGATCAAATGGAGTTCAGACGCTGGCCCTGAACACTGTGTGCTTGCTTACTCTCTCTCTGCAAAATATCACCCTCATGGGACTTCTCCCTCTTCCCTGGGAGGGAGATACTGCTAAAATCCTTCACCCTTCCACCTGAGAGGTCTCTCTGATGTGCCTGGGAGTCTTCCTTTGTGTGGGCAGACCAAGCCTAGAGAACAGCCCCTGGGGGTACTTTGGTGGCCCCCCTCTGTACCTAGCCTGCTTCCAGTGTCTCGGCAAACTGTGCCCTGGGCCCAGTGTCAGCCTCGCAGCAGTGCCAGTAGAGCCCACGCTCTCCAGAAGCCAGGCACCCCCACCCCCACCCCCCGCTGGCGCTTGGGCATACCGCACCCCACTTCTGTTCATGAAGTCCCCGCCATCACCCCCCTCCTCCAAACCAGGGAAAGGCCAACTCTGCATTCTGGGGCAACTCCTCCAATTCCGAGGGGCTGGTTGACTCTGGGAGGGCTGAGCCGGTTTGGCTATGAGCTTCCACCCCTCCCCACAGGAGCCCCGAAGTGACCTTAGCAGATCAAAATGGTCAAGGCTCTCCTCCACAGCTATCTCCACCCACGGCCCCTCCCCCCACCCAGTTTCTGTGTGTTTAGCCCCCAGCTTGGCCCTCTGAGGGCCGCATTCAGAGGCTAAAATGAAGGTCATTGTAAGTGAGGATTCGGGCCCAGCACAGCCTTCGCAGGCCAGAGGCTGTGGCGCCTGACGGCCTGGGCTGGGCGGAAGGCCGGGGCGATGGCAGAATTTTGGGGGGCCGGGATGAAAGAGGGGACTTGAAGGAAAAGCAGAGGGGGGCTGGGAAGGAAACCCAAGGCCCAGATCCGGCAGAAGGTGCTGCGTACCCCCGCCCCTGCGGCCAACCCGATACCTAGGGCTCTTTGAAAACAGGAAGAGCCAAGGTGTCATAAAGCCATCGAGCTGGCGAGACGTCTGGAGGTAATGAGTTTACGACAGGCCCGGCGCTTCGCTTTGAAACCATCTCATTTTGATGTTTGTGTTTGTGGGAGGAAAGGAAAAATGCAGACAAAACTGGGTCTTAAAATCTGGACAATAAAATATAAAGAAGACTGCGTTGGACTAAGAAGGCAGGGGCCTGGGAACCCCGGATGAGGTGTGAGCACCTAGGAAATAAAAATGGGAGGTGGAGTAGGAGGAAGATGATCTATTTCTAATTTTTAAAATGCGCTGGGTATTAGAAGTAGCCTACGGTGGTTGGCTCTCAATAATATTTGACTATGGCCGCCGTCTAGCTCTTCTTTAAAAAAGAAAAAAAGCAGCCTGCTCTTTGGGGGGTTGGAAAGTTAGTGATCTTGGGTCATTTGTTTAGGCCTAGGTTTTCCAGCCACATGGTCGGCAGAAAAAGATGAAGTTATTTGAATGACTATTCACAAAAATATCTGGCACTACACTCCAAGCTTCGTAGCAAAAATATTGGAAATTAAATCAATTTTCTCATGAAAAAAAAAAACTTGTTATAGCTGAATTGGGGGAAAGCTTTTTTGAAAATGGGAAAAAAGATTAACCTCTCAGGAAACAATCAAACTGATTAAAGTCTTGGCTTTAAATTTTTTTTCAAGTGAAATGCTTAGTCAATTCATTTCACTCTGACTTTTAATATAAATTTAATGTCCCATTTATTGTGCATAGAGGATCCAATGAACACAGCCCAATGGGGTCTTTCCAAACAGCCATTCAGAAATACAACAAAAAGCTTTTAATTTGCCTTCTATCCACCCCCACCTTGCCCAGTGAAATGGGCCTGAAGCATTAAAATTACAAGGTTAAAATAGCAAATATTCACGATTTAATGTGAAGTGTAACTACATTAAAAGAAAAAATTAACAAATTTAACTTCTATAATTTCTCAGTTTTTGAAGTGCCTGTCCCCTTTGGGGGGGGGAAAGGCCTGTTGCAATTAATATTTAGAAAGTTGTGATTTTGTTAAATCTAACCCATGCTATAATTGTAGGCGATTACAGAATGGGGACCTACTGTGTCTGGCAAAAGAAGGGCTAAAAGCTTCTGAAAAAAACACTACTGGAAGCTCTTGGGAGCACAAATATCTTTGGCATTCAGGAGCCCCTGTTTGCTGCACTTGACTTGTCGACAATCAAAGGGATGAACCATTATTAGTGTCAGCGATCCAAGCCCAGTCAAAGTAAAGAACAAGATTGGAATTGGTTTTAGTCGAAAAAGAAGTTAAGCTCGGTCAACTACAGGTGGCATTTGGCCACTAGAGAGCGCCGTTGCTCCATTTTGTGATCGTAAAGCTGGCGTTTCAGCGGAAGGTTTTGATTAAAGACATTTACAATCTTACTTTAAATTCCAAATTAGGATAAATTTAACCAAAAAGCAGCAGTGTGCACTATTAAATTCTCCAGAAGCTTGTTTGTTATGTATAAAAATTTGGCTTAGTCAGGATTTCAGAAAATTTGGACTATGGCACAGATGAAACTATAAAACGTTATGGTAAGTTAATGCATTCTATCAAAACAGAAACGTGTAAAAGCATACATCTTTGTTTACGAAGTTAATCGCACTCTTTTCCCATTCAAATTATAAACAGACTGCTTGAAGAAAAAAAATTGTTTTGTCCCAAGAGGAAATGTTGCATTGTAATGTTTTCTTAATTAGGCCTGAATGTGTAGAACTGAATTTTGTAGTGTTTGTCTTTCTTTTTCGCCCCCTCAAGAATCACACAGTTCTAGAAGGTGCCTTGTATTATTGAGATCTGGGTTCGTTCTTTTTCCCCATTCCATTCCAAATCCCATGATCAAGAGTTTAAACAGGCATACGCCAAACAGTGAAATAAAGGCACAATTACAAAGTTAGTTACAAGGCTTTATTGAAAATAATACTCTTTTAATTGCGTATTTGCAAGATTGTAGTACAAATCGTTAACTGTCAGAAATCAGTTCATTTGTCTTTGGATTTAAAGGAAATTTTACCTGACAGTAACTGGCAGAAAACAACACAAAAAATCCTTATCCTTCACCACCCGCCCAACAAAAGCCTCCTAGCACTCCCTACTAATTTAAAAATTAAATAAAGCATGCCTTTTTCATCTGGAGATTCATGAGCAATCCTTTTACCTTAACCATTTCCAGCTATTCCCTGTAGAACCAAATGAGTCTTAAACATTATTTTGCCTTTCCATCTCGACCTTATTTTTCTCTACTGGCAAAATATGATATTCAGTCTACCCAGACTGACCTCAGATCTCACTCACAGGCTGGGCCAACCCACAAGGAGCGAGAGGTAGATGAACTCACTCGCCTGCTGCGCCTTTGGGGGGCTGTCTGGGGGTTTTAGGCATTTGCATTTGGCGTGAAAAGCGGGAGAGGCGTGTTTTAGCTTTAGCAGGAGCGTTCTCGTTGGGAGTGTTTCCGAGGTCGGTCCCTAAGGCCGGTGGGCCTGGCTGCCTCACAACGGATTTATCCCAAGCAAGAGTCAAAGAGCTGAAGAAAAGTCAGAATAGACAAGAGAAAACGAATCAACAGAGATCTATTACAGTTATTGGACATTAAAACAGAAGGGGGAGATGGAAAGAGAAGGCGAATGGTAGTATAACGCCAAGCAGCTTCAGAGCGAGCTTCTAAAATCAGGAATATTTTGCCCATTTCACACTCTTGCCCACATGACTCGGGAGGTTTCTTTCCCTCATTGCTCTATAAGCTCGGCGAACTTTCTCTTTCTTTTCTTTTGGAAAAATTAGTAATTTTTTAAGCTGACCCTGGCGCCCGCTCTTGGCAGTAACTTCACAGGTTAGCTGGATGAACTAGAATCCTTAGAAGAAGGGCGCCGCCTGCAGCTGCTTGGAACCGGCGTTATCCGAACTTCGGCCCGGAGGCTCGATGGGGGGACTCGCCAGCATCGGCCCCCCCATTCTCTGCCCGGGGCCACCGCCTGCCCTGGTCCGCTCCGCGCTGGAGCTGAGACTCGGGAGCCGCGCGTCCTGCCGTAGGAAATACCACCCACCCCAGCGTGAGTCCTCCTTCCCGCCTTGGAACATTTCTGTCCGCTTTTCTATGTACTTCCTCTGCAATGCTAATGCCTCCCCCTACATTCTTCAGCCTCCCCCTGCGCCTGGTGCTGACGTCTATCAAGGGTGAAATGATGGAAACTATATTCATGGGCATGATTTCCATTAAATATCAATTAACCTGGGAGCCTCAGGCAGGCGTGCAATGCGTCAAGGGTAAATGTACATCTCATTTCCACAAGGCCCGCTCAGCTGGAAAAGAAGGGCTTAGATTCGCTTTGATAACGCAAGGTATTGGGTTCACCCTTGTGGCCTTTAATCAAATCACTTGGATAAGACCTAAGTCAAATATTCTGTTTGGACCGTCTACACTGCTTGCCCACGTCCCCTGGGCTGCGCCCACGTCCACTGGGCTGCACCCGCGTGTCCAGGAGCGCAAAAGCCACGGCCAACCTCTAAAGGGCTGCTCCAGGGACCCAGGGAGGGAGTCATTTGCTTCACAGCCTCCTGTGAGTGGCCTCCCTGACTCCCCCCAACTGTAAGTTTCTGCCGCGCCCCCGCCCCTCCGGCCGCGGCCCGCATTCTCTCGGCCCCGGGAGCACGGCTAGCCCTTGGCAGTGCGGCTTTATGGGCCCCCTTTAAGGCCGGCGGAGGCATCTCTCGGCCAGCGTGAGGCGTCCCGTCGGGAACAGTGAAGTCGCCTCCGCGCAGATCCCTCCGCGCGGTTATCTCGCGCCCATCTCGCTCCCTTTCCGCGCAGTGGCGTGGTGCGAAAATGCCTCGCCGGGGCGCACCGGGGCGGCAGCCTCGGCAGCGGCGGCGAGAGCGGTGGGAGGGGGCTACGGGGGGGGCGAGGTGAGAGGTGGCGGCGGGCAGAGGGTGTTTTTTTTCCTTTTCCCTCCAGAGCGGGGGGTTGTAAACCGAAGCCAAAGAGTGTCCCCGTGGGCCGGGCGCACTTTTTTTCTTGTCCCAGTGCGCTCAGGGCCGCCTGGTGCCTGAGAGGAAACAGTGGAGGCAA